ACGTCCAGAAGAAATTACTTACATAAAAAAGCGATATTTAGTTCATATTATCTCTTGAAGAAAAACACTTAAATTTGAATTTATTCCTACTATTCACAGTAGAGATCGAAATAACAATAGTTAATACTCGATAATCGATTGTTTTGTGTTTTCCCGTTATTGAAAAAAACATTTTCTTTTTCTTTTTTAGACATCAAAAAAAGGTCTTAATATTCGTTCGAAGTTATTAAAAGTTATATTTGAATTAGGCGATGAAAACGAACGAAAAATTGAAAAGCAAATTCCACCATCCACGACAATAGCAAAATTAAAAACACTTGTTCGAAGATTATATTCATCACAATTAACCAATGATATACAAATAAATTTATTTGTTCTTATTGATCAAAATCATAGAGAATTAATGTCAAATGATTATCAAGATATTGATTTTTATTTAGGAAATCATTGTTTAAGTCAAACGAATGATCGACCATCAATTATCAGAATAGAAACTATTACATAAGACATTTTAAAAATTTTTATCATTTGCGTTTTTTTTTAAATAAGAAAAAAAAATAATGATTATAACATAGAAATTATCATGTTATTCGAAGTACTATGTTTGACGAGAAAGAAAAAAAAACAACATATGCTTCTGTTCTCATTACTTGAAATGATTCATCGAACGATTGACGCCCACAGCACAGAACAACCCAGAGAAAATATCCTGAACTTTTTTCTCTAGCGCTTTTTTTCTTTTCTACTATTACTTTGTCGACGAGATGAACGAGCGAACGACTAAGCGAAAAAAAAACTATGTCATAGAATGTTGTTTTTCTCTTTTTCTCATTCTTTTTTATAGATTGTCATCGGCGCAAGGAGAATTATTTCATTATGGAACGTCTTACCCTTCTCCTTGTTTTGCTTTCTTTTGTTTTGAATATAAATGCCCGAGCATTTCAACCTAGTTTTCTTGATGCCAGTAATTCGGATGAGGTAAATATCGAAATATTATATTGAAATTATATGAATAAAATATTTTTCCTCCTAGGAAATAACTTATCAAGTCATTGCAAATAAACCATTAAATATTATATCATCAGATGAAGATGCTCAACATGAATATAAACTTGGTCAAGTTGGTGGTGTTGCTGGTTGTGTTAAAAATCCTAATCGATTAATTGTTTTTCATCGAGCATCAAGAGAATGGACTCAAGAGTAAGTTATTTTATTTTAATTAAAAGAAAAAAAAATAATGATTAAACCAAACACGAATTTGAGCTGGTATTAGTTGAGTTCGAGTTGAAAGATCATCGATTGTTGTTTTTGATACATATTTATCTACTTTATAAAAATATTCTTCAAGAATTTGAATTTGTTCCGAAGTTTTTTCTGGACGAATCTGAAATACAGAAGAAGAATATATTGGACTACTTACTTGTTGTTGAAAAGTACAATAGCCCGCAGGAGGCGGTTGAGGAACAGAATTGTGAACAGGACAATAATATTGATCTGAAATATAAGAAAAAGAATCATCACCTGGAGAATAACCATACGATGAATCAAGATATATATACACATAGATAGAGAGTTGAACGCAATTAGAGATAACGGTTTGTTTCAATAATTGATACATAAATAATTAAACAATAAACGCTGAGTTTGTTTCTTTTCTGTTCTGTTATATAAATTTCTTATTAAAGATCATTTCCTGATGGTCGTAATTTCGATACAAAGAAATTTGGTGCCATTCCAGAAAATACAATTCTTACCATCAATACTCGAACTGGTCAGATCGTTAATCAATGGGGAAATAATACGTAAGTCTTTTTATCATAAATAAAAATGAATACAATAAGCTATATTTCAGATTCTACATGCCTCATGGTCTTTCTATTGATACAGAAGGAAATCTTTGGGTAACCGATGTTGCAATGCATCAAGTAAAATTATTTCTATGTTTTTTTTTCAAAATTTTAATAAATTTTTTTTAAAGGTTTTCAAATATTCAAAAGGTGAACTTGTATTAACAGTAGGTGAAGCATTTGTACCTGGTAGTGATTCAAAACATTTCTGTAAACCAACTGATGTTGCTGTATCAAATGATGGTTCAAATATCTATGTTGCCGATGGATATTGTAATTCTCGTATTGTGAAACTTGATTCAAAAGGAAAATTTGTAAAAGAATATACAATGCCTGATGAAGAAAAACAACTCGCAATTCCGCATAGTATTATTCTTATTGAAACACTTGGTCTCGTTTGTGTTGCTGATCGTGAAAATGGACGGTAAAATTTTTTATTGAATATAGAAAACAATAATTTTTTATTTCTATAATAGAATTGTTTGTTTTGATGATGGAGAAAATAATGAAGGTAATGTCAAAGCTATTATTGATCATCCATTAATGAAAACAGTTTATGCTATTACTTATGATGCAAATAAACGTAGGATTTTATTTCAAAAGAAAATATTTTATATTAATAAATAATTTTTTTCAATAGATCGTCTTTATGCAGTCAGTGGTAAAAGTGGAAAAAATCGAGCAGTTGGTTTTACATTCGATGCTCATCCAGAATCATTTGGTGATTTGATTGCTACTTGGGAACCAAATGAGGTTCGTATTTGTTTATTAATATAGAAATAATTAAAATAAATATGTTATTTATTTAGAAATTTGGTGAACCACATGATATAGCTTTAAGTGTAAGTGGTCATGCATTATTCGTTGGTGAAATTCGTCCGAATCGTATTGATGTATTTGATGTTCTCAATTAATTTTCAAGAATGATCCCTTTTTTTTCTTCTTTCTTGAGCAATAATCAACAGTCATTCTTTGTTCTCAAATATTTTATCGAATGATTTCAATACATAAATGAATAAATAAATAATAATATTCAATAAATAATCAATGATATATACTTATCTTTTATTATCAGATATATGAATTGAAGAGATATATATATCGCAAAATAATTATATACTTAATAGAGTAAACTGCTATTGCTTAATATGTAACGCAAAAAAGACGTATGGAGTTTTATTTCTTAATAAAAGAGCAGATGTTAATGTATCGAATAAATAGAGAAGTAAAAAAGTATCCAGAAGGTTTTATTTGATTCATAGAGAGAAAAAGAAATATTTTTGTCAGGTTAAAATCTGTCTAATAGAATGTATAAGTCATATTGATATTCATGACATAGAGAAAAATTCATTCGATAGTAGATTTAGTTTAGGATCTATTTATAAGTTTTACAACAACATGTGATGGATATAACAACAAATGTTGTAATTTATATTGAATTAGTGATCTGCGGATTAATTCGATTCCATCACCAATCATAAAAATTTTTGAAAAGAAAGATATTGTAAATATTTTTAATTTATAGCTGGAAAAATGTTTTATCAAAAATTTCATATAATTCACGTCTTCTAGTCATATAATCTTTGATGTTTTATATATTTGATATATAGGTAAGTATTAATAGCATCAATTGTCTGAAACAAAAATGGATTATAATACTTTATTGATGAACAGAAAGAATTTTCATGAACAAATAGCATTATAAAATCATCTATCTTACAGATGGATTGTTATAGAGAGAAATTTTAGTCGTCTTTAAATATTTTTTAGTTATAATATCATCAAACAAACCTTAGTGACAGTTCATCTCTCATCAGTACTAAATTACGTTAATAACGTTCTGAAAATTCTTATATCAATTGTATACTCTTCTTACAACGAAAGATAAAATTAGCGAATAAAATTGCCGTTTATACTTCATATTACAATAGTTATGATCTAGACTGAGCATGTTAGAGTTTTCATATTGACAGTTACTAAATCGATATAAAATAACACTATACTTTATACAAAGGTATTCATGATGTTGCATTAAAACAATTCACTGTTCAGCATGAAGATTCTAAAAGAAGTTCTATCAATGATAATAATGAAAACATGCACAAAAAGCTTTCAGAAGCAACTATTTTTACGTATAATTGATATTAAATGTTTTGAAGATAGACAATAATTAAGCTTAATAAAAATGTAGGTGAATCTGGGATGGATGAGGTGTTCATTATTCATCTGTATCTACACCCACCCATCTAAAGATAATAACTACATTACACAAGAATTAAACTTCTTACTCAGAAACTTCTATTAATAACAAAAACTAAATTATTTACATATTTGATGATTTTATTCAAAATATTTTTTACTCTATGCAAGAAAAATGTTTTTCAAAAAATAACCATCACATGAAAAATAAGGACATTAAAATAATAAAAAGAATAGCCGAATCTCCTATTTACCTTCGAAAAGTTGTGCATAATAATTGAATTATTATAGAAAATTACCAAGTAAATATAAATCTATTCAAGTGATGTTTTCTTTTACCTTTGTCAGCCAAAAAACTTTGTATAGCTGATGATGTTTTAAACTTCGATTGAAAAAATTTCATGCTTTTCGTTGTGATGAAAGAATAAAAATGAAGAGTCTTTGATGTGAATGAAAATCATAGGCATAAAAAAAAATTTTTATAATAACTTTTTACAGAATAAAAGGAATCTACTTTTTATTTCAAGAACACGGGCAAATTTTGCAAGAATCAGTTCTATGCTCACTCAACTAAAAGAGTAGAGAAAAATCATTCGTCGCTGTGCCTACTTTATTTTTTCATTCATTACATAAAAAATAATGCGATTTATCATTGTCTTGTTTTCAATTATATCCCTTTCGTCTATAAAAGGTTTGTGACATTATCTTTTTTCATTTAATTCTATCATGATATATATAAATTCTATAGGACAAACTACACAACTACCTAATTATTCTTGTAGTGAAAATAATGCCTCTATTCAGTTTACATTATCTTCCTCATTTCATTCAGCATGGAATCAAACATCAAGTTGTTCTTTGCAACAATGTAATACAAGCTTGAATGATAACAATAATTGTCTTTCATCATCAACACCTTGTTTTGATTATCGAACAATAAATAATATTAGTTATTGTGCACCTGGTATTTTATGTTCAATATTAGAAAGATGTAATAATATTACACAAACATGTTCATCAAATAGTTCAGTATGCGTTATTAATTCGTGTTGTTCACCACAAGCAGTATGTTTACCATTGTTAGCCACATACATGTGTAAAACAGGTACGGATGCATATTATTTATATTTTAGACTTCATCGAAATCAATTAAAACCATTCATTTTAGTCATAGGTATAGATAGAGTATCATTCATTTATATGAAACCTCTGTCGAGTGATACTTTTGTTATAGTGGAAACAAATGTAATATATAGACTAAGACAGATTAGTGATATCCATTGTTAATTAATAAGAAAGATGAAGAACTGAAGTATGTTGAGGTTTTCCGATTAGTTATTAAATAATGCACTAATACAATTTCATATATCATTTAGTTGGTAAAATAAGGGTATACAGTTTTATAAGCATTGAATGTTATTTGTTTTTTATATTTGAGCTGAAAAATTTAGTATATGAAATAAACTTGTGTCTACATTTGTTACATTAAATAACAAATAATATGAATGAATAGATTGAAGTATACAGATCGTTATGATAAATCATCTCAAGTAAAATTTATATTTTGCCAAGTTTCATATTCATATTTATTTCTACTTTTTCTATTACTGCCGTTGTCCTAGTAATATTAATTTATAGATATGTTAGATACGATTTAAGCAATAATATTGATTATCATTGATTTGATTGTAATATCAAGAGAACTATAAAAGAGTTGATGAAAAGTTCTAACTTTTCATTCTATTAAATATTTTCCAAGCATAGCTTGTAAAATTTGTAAAGAATCGAAAAATACATCAGCCAGGGTAACTATCACAGTGGTCATTTGGAGACAAACATCATTTATATGTTTGATTGAGATAACAGACGAAATAAAAATGATAGAAAACTGAAGATGTGATAATCACATGTGAAGAGAATTTATATAATACATTTGACTACTATTCTTGGTCTACATTAGTTTGAGGTGATATAAAAGAGACATATCAAAGACTGTCATTTTTAGAATAATAAAAAATACTGTGTACAAAAATAATGAATGTTGATTGTCGGATTATTTAATGTTTTATAGTCTGAATATATAAAAATGTAACTTGTAGGATGGTTTTCTACTGGCAATATGTCTAATGCACGATGGGGTCACACAGCATCTTTATTATCAAATGGAAAAGTATTAGTTACTGGTGGATACAGTGTCACTGTTGGTATTTTAAATAGTGCTGAACTGTATGATCCATCAACAGGTGCTTGGACAACTACTATTAACATGACTAATGTACGATATTATCACACAGCATCTATATTATCAAATGGAAAAGTGTTACTTGCTGGTGGAGCTGATAATAGCGGTACTTTAAATAATGCTGAGCTGTATGATCCATCGGCAGGTACTTGGACAACTACTAGTAACATGACTAATGCACGAGCTTATCACACAGCATCTGAATTATCAAATGGAAAAGTATTAGTTACTGGTGGATTATATAATAATAGTATTAATTTAAATAGTGCTGAGCTGTATGATCCATTAACAGGTACTTGGATAACTACTGGTAACATGACTAATGCACGATGGGGTCACACAGCATCTATATTATCAAACGGAAAAGTATTAGTTATTGGTGGATTCGGTAATAGCGGTATTTTAAATAGTGCTATGTTGTATGATCCATCAATAGGTACTTGGACAATTACTGGTAACATGACTAATGCACGATATTATCACACAGTATCTATATTATCAAATGGAAAAGTATTAGTTACTGGTGGATTCAATGGGTATATTACATTAAATACTGCTGAATTGTATGATCCATCAATCGGTACTTGGACAACTACTAGTAACATGACTGATACACTAGAGTTGCACACAGCATCTGTATTATTAAATGGAAAAGTATTAGTTACTGGTGGTAGACGTAATGGTAATAACGTTTCTAATAGTGTTGAATTGTATGATCCATCAACCGGTACTTGGACAGCTACTAATGACATGACTAATGCACGATATTATCATACAGCATCTGTATTATCAAATGGAAAAGTATTAGTTACTGGTGGAATCAATGTTAATTTTGTTACTTTAAATAGTGCAGAATTATATTAGTTATTTCAGACAAGTTAACTTCCAGTTATCTTATTCTTTTTCTTGCAAGTAATGCAAATTCGAAACAAAACTTTAGTTAGAAAAAATACTAGCTTGTGACGTCCGCTGACTGTTTCCTTTAACACTTTTACTGAATTATTATTTACTTTAGTAATCAATTCCAAATAAATAAAATATCTTTGTCTTTTTAGTCTAATATATTAACTGATTATTATTAAAAAAAATTACAATTGATACGATAATTTCAACTATCCTTTAACATGTTCTCTTCATTTTGCAGTGTACTCTTTCATAATACTTAATTGTTTTGATAATACTCATCGGATTTAAAATAAATCAACATTGAAATATTCCATTTACAAAAAGACTTTGAGGTAAGTTCATGAATGACATAGATGAACATATCTGTAAATAATAACAGCAAATAATTGAAGTAAAAATCTATAATCATATCATATACACAACGTAATGAGGACGAGAGTGGGTGTGGGCGTGGGTGTGAACGTAGGTATGGGTTTGAATGTTAGTGTAATTAGGTGAAACAAACGAGGCAGATCCACACCCACACCCTCAAGAATATCTTTTGAGAAGTTCCTTTGAAATATCAAGACAAAACTGTACATATGGGTGAGTATGGATGAGAATGTGTCTTCATTACCGACACCCATCGTCATGATCTTGAGAGTGAGTGTGGATGTAAATAAATAATTAACGTCCATACTCTCAGGATAGTTTTTATCTAAATTTGATATATTGAATGTATCTGATAGAATACAACGTAATTGAATAAATGCTAATTTAATATCACTTAATAATGTTTCATAAAATAGATTAAAATCAGCAATAGTAAAAACATTTATTTTTAAATATTCTTGTAAACTTTGACGAAAATTTTCGGCGCTAACTATTCTTTCTAACATTTGCATTGAACTTTTACCTTTTCTATATGTTATACAATCCAGATAACTTATTATTTTCGACATGCTCATTGTATTTTCAAGAATAACTGGATGAGTTCATAGTTTTTCATCATTCCACATAACTGGAATTGTATTATTAGTTAAGATTTGTAATATCTTTCAAATTATTTCACATAATTTCCAAGTCCTAAATTAATTTTTGTTTTTGTAAAATGATATTCTCAATTAAAGTCTAACTGATGAGAATGATCAATTTCATGAGTTACAATATCTGCAAACTATTGTTGTTGTAATTTTTTCATCATAGATTCTTCGATCTTCACGAGATAAAATTAAATGTGAACATTTTGTGTCACCTGAGTAAAATGAAATAAACTATTTTCAGTTGTTAATATTCTATATCATTGCTGAACTGTATTTTCTGGATAAATATATATACTATGAATGTTAAATGTTGTTGGTCATCAAAATAAGCAAATATTTTTCGAGCTTCTGTTGCTCAAAATTTTGTTGCTAATAATGTTTTAGACAAAAATAGAATCTTCTTTCCTTTTTATATATATATTTTGAAGATCATAATTTACTCGTTTGTATAATATTAATCTCTAAACAAAACTTTGATACAATCCAATGCTAAGATTATTCAAATTAACAACAAGTTTTTGTATTAATTTATATCGATTCATTGAAAATAAAGAATTATTTAATAAACGTAAACTTATATAACCATGAGAAAGATATTTTTTTCAATAAAATAGAATTTGTTCTTCTAATTGAATCATTTCTTTGGAATGATAAATCAATTGTAACTTGTCCTTCCATTATTGTTGGTGTTAAATCTTTATATAAATATTCTAATTCATAATCATTAACAATTAAATCATTTAATAAATGTGAATTACATTCATCTTCGATACATTCAGTTGGATTTTACATGTAATTGTTGTTGATGTTAGTGTCTCAATTATAGTTATATATTGTGTTCGTCGCGTCAGAAGATCGACCGATAGACCAACAGTGCGAAGAGATCTACAATGAAAAATAATCCATGATATAGGAAAATGATCCAGCGATGAAAATCGACTATTTGTTGATTCATTTAATTCAATATTAGGTTCTAAATTATTCGTTGCAATGTATTGTCGTGTTTTACAATGAATATTATTTATATTTTGTTAATAATGTAAGTCAAAAATGATACAAAATATAAAAAAGAATTTGCTTTATTGTTTTTTTCTTTTTCTTATCTTTATTTATCACTGATAGGAATTTTATGTTGACTGTTATTTATACATACAGTGACTTGTATTTTAATTTATTTCGTAAAGTTTTAAGTCTTTCTCTTATTTATAGCACGTGATAAAACGGTTTATCCAAAGTTTGTATTAATCAATTTAACATACGAATTCCTATTGATAATTCAATGAACACATACATACTAAAATCTTATCATAATTAATAGATTTTCAATAAACAATCTTCATGATCTAATTCTTGTCGAAACGTTTTTTTTGTTAATAACGTATACTTGACTTGAAGATGTTGCTAAACTAAAAACAATTTAATTCTATTCAAGTTACTCTTTTGTTTTTATTTATTGCGGGGAATACTCTCGTGGATAATTAGAAACGTAAATATGTCTGAGAAGGTCTTCTATACATATATGTATATATGTGCAGTACCTTATCAGCCGGCTTTGTCTATTACATTTGAATTATTTACAAAGTTATTCTCTGATCCACACGTCAGTTACTAGAAACTACAAATAATTCAAACAGAAGCGAACAAAATATTCTTTATAACTTCATTTTTACAGTTTCAATAATATCTTTCAAATTTTTTATATGAGGATGAGTCGGAGGTAATACACATTCGAATATTTCCAGAGCGCGATTATAATATGAAAGTGCTTTCGGATATTCTCCCATCTTGTTGTGCACATTACCAATGATGTTGTATGAAGCAGGCAGATCAACATGGTTGGAAGAAAGAGTTTTTTGGCAGATTTCAAGGTCTTTTTCATAATATGATAGTGCTTTTGGGTACTCCCCCATGCTCTCATACACAGTACCAATGTTGTTGTATGAAGTAGCCAAATCAGGATGATTCGAGGGAAGAGCTTTTTGTCGAATTTCTAGTGCTTGTTCGCAAAATGCAAGTGCTTTCAGGTACTGTCCCATCCTGTTATACACATTGGCAATGTTGCTATATGAAGTACCCAATGAACGATGACTTGAAGAAAGAGTTTTTTGCCGAATTTCAAGTGCTTGTTCGCAAAATGAAAGCGCTTTCTGGTATTCGCCCATCTTGTTATACACCGAACCGATGGTGCTATATGAAGTAGCCAATGAAGGATGATTTAAAGGAACAGTTTTTTGTCTAATTTCAAGTGCTTGTTCGTAAAATGAAAGCGCTTTCGGGTACTCTCTCATCTTGTTATACATATTACCAATGTTGTTGTATGAAGTAGCCAAATCAGGATGATTCGAAGGAACAGTTTTTTGTCGTATTTCAAGCGCTTGTTCGTAATATAAAAGTGCTTTCAGGTGCTCCTCCGCCTTGTCATACAGATTACCAATGTTGTTGTATGTAGTAGCGAAATCATTATGATCTGAAGGGAAAGTTTTTTGCTGTATTTCAAGCGCTTTTTTGTAAAATGAATGTGCTTTTGAGTATTGTCCGATGTTGTTATACACCAAACCGATGTTGTTGTATGAAGTAGCCAAATCAGGATGATTCGAAGGAAGAGTTTTTTGCTGTATTTCAAGTGCTTGTTCGCAAAATGAAAGTGCTTTTGGATACTCTCTCATCTTGTTGTGCACACCACCAATGTTGTTATATGAAGTAGCCAATGAAGGATGGTTTGAAGGAAGAGTCTTTTGTTGTATTTTAACCGCTTGTTCATAATGTGAAAGTGTTTTCGAGTATTCTTCCATGTTGCAATACACCAAACCGATGTTGTTATATGAATTAGCCAATGAAGGATGATTTAAAGGAAGAGTTTTTTGTCGAATTTCAAGTGCTTGTTCGTAAAATGAAAGTGCTTTCGGGTATTCGCCCATGCTGTCATACACCGAACCGATGTTGCTATATAAAGTAGCCGATGAAGGATGGCTTGAAGGAAGAGTTTTTTCACAGATTTCAAGCGCTTGTTCGTAAAATGAAAGTGCTTTCGAGTACTCTCTCATGTTGTTATACATCGAACCGATGTTGTTATATGAATTAGCCAAATAAGGATGATTTGAAGGAAGAGTTTTTTGACGAATTTCGATGTTTTTTTCATAATATGAAAGTGCTTTCGGGTACTCTCCCATGCGGTCATACACCAAACCGATGTTATTGTATGAAGTAGCCAAATCAGGATGATTTGAAGGTAGAGTTTTTTGCTGTATTTCAAGCGCTTTTTTGTAAAATGAAAGTGCTTTTGAGTATTCTCCGATGTTGTTATACACATTACCAATGCTGTTGTAGGAGTTAGCCAAATCAGGATGATTTGAAGGAAGAGTTTTTTGTCGAATTTCAAGTGCTTGTTCGTAAAATAACAGTGCTTTCGAGTATTGTCCCATTTTGTCATACGCCGAACCGATGTTGTTGTAGGAATTAGCGAAATCTGGATGATTGGAAGGTAGATTTTTTTGTCGAATTTCAAGACCTTTTTCAAAAAACGAGAGTGCTTTCGAATACTCTCCCATGTTATTATACACCCTACCGATGTTGTTGTATGAAGTGGCCAAATCAGGATGGTTTGAAGGAAGAGTTTTTTCTTGAATTGCAAATGCTTGTTCGAAATACCAAATAGTATTTTTATAATCACCCTGACCATGTTTAACATATCCAAGCTGATGATAATAAAGCGCTTTTTTACTGTCATGAGATGTTTCTTCGAGTAAAATGTTGAAAAGTTCTTCAGCCTTATCAAATTGGCCAATTGTAAGCAATAAGTCACCCAATCTTTCGCATCCATTATCACCAACAACTTCTTCTCGTATCCGATTAGTAAGTAGTCGTAGTTGTTGATCATGATCCGAAGTTAATTCTAATTCAACTTGATAAAGTTGATTATTATTCTCGATTTGTTTAATTACACCCACGCGAAAAATGGTGTGCATTGAGAAGAGAATTTCATCTTCGTCTGCAAAATAACTAATCGCCTTGATGGAAGCAAACGGCACTGATTCCACACGAGGATCAATCAACATCTTGAAAAGAATGCCGACCATGTCTGCAGTTTCTGACGCACTTGAAGCAAGTCCGAGAGGCATGTGTTGTTCTGTACTAGTGGATAAAAAGTTATTGAAGGATAGTAAACCACCTTGTGTCTTTTGAAGTTTCTCAAAATCTGTTTTGGATAGACCTTGTCCCCGGTAGACTATAAACGGTTTGTCGTGAAAAACATGAATTTGTTCTTGCTGTAGCTGTTGAAGTTGTTGGTGAAGATCACGAATAAAAAATCCCATATTAATAATGGTTTCGCCTTCCATAGAGCGAAGAGCATAATTCAGCATGGAATAAATAAATGATGGGCAAGTATACCACCAAATAGCTGTCTCAACATCGTAGCTTTTTTCAAATTCATCAATATTCTTTGCTGATCCGCAGTCATGATGTCGACAATAAGCAGTGAATTGTTTGATAGCCTGTGCATCATGCTCCATATCTAGAAGAATACCCTTGAATATTTGGGTGTACATAAATGTTGGCTCTAACTGATTTAATTTATCAGTTGAAGTCATTTCACCTAGTGTGATAAAACTCATAGCAATTGAATCTTGATTTAACTGCTTGATACCCATTTGTAATCCTTGACATAAGTCATCAATGTTGGTATGAACACTCTTGATTTTTTGCCATTTTTTCGTCCATTCTTCATCTAGGATTTCAGTATCACTCAAGATATAAACACCATGCAACTGAGGAATAACATTAATAAGGGGCATTATTTGTTGAGATATAATATCCTTGATAACGAGAAAAAGCTTGATGTCTTCTTCGGAATCTGTAAGAAAGTCGATGCATGCATCTCGTTCTTTAAAGACATTAATATTGTGAGCAATAGTTTGGATTTGTTTTAACGTATTTTCATAATCTTTGTTTGTTTGATCTACACACTCATCTAACCAGACGAGTGAATAATTTCGAATAATCCGGCGTCTTGATTGAATAACATTAGATGATATTATTGTTGTATTATTGTTACTCATGAACACGTTTGATGATGTACAAGAAGCTTCTTGATTTGATCCAGAATCACTCATTTGTTTCTTATTATAATCTGATGTTGAAATATAAACCTGTTAATAATTATTGTTGTCTAAATGGTTTCAACTAGCTACCTTTTAAAGTGCGGCTGTAAAGAGTAAGAGACAGACCAATATAATCAAATATCTGAAAAACGTCGCTTATATAAGTTCTTATATATGAACCAGATGATAACAAAACAAAACCTTAACTATATATACTCTCTCAATCTAGAGATGCGAAGATACACGGCAAGAGAAAAAAATGCAAAGATGGTGAAACAAAACAAACAAAATTTGCGGAGGTGAGAATGAGATGTGGAGAGTGGATGATTTATGAGAATAAAGAAGAAATATGAGAAAAGTATGAAAGTAAAGATTAATAAAACCATTTCGTTACATAGTAAATATTTCCAACTTTATTTGTCTTATCTATGCAATTATTGCAATAAGTTAAGATGCCATATCAACACTTTATAATTGAAGTAAAATAGAAAAAGAAATATGATTCTATCAGCAAATGTTTGTCCTCTTATCTATACGTTGTTTTGTTGTTAAATGGCTGTAAAGGATTTATTGAAACAAAAGGATTGAAGCGAAAAATGGGTGATTCTTTCTTTTAAACACACTTACATCCTATGATTCTTCATTTCTTCTTCATATCAAATAATGAATTCATAATTTAATTTGATCACGAAAATCTGAATTTTTTAACATAAATATATAATCAATTCGTTTCGATGGATTCAAATACATCAACTGTATAAATTATTAAATAAAGAAAGTATAACATTTATGATATTATTACTCATTTATTTAGTTTCATTTAATTGTTGTAAACCATTTAGTTCAATACCAAAAATGAGTTGTACCAAAATAAAGTGATACATCATTATTATCTTGATAGTTGAATGAAATTTCAAACAATACAAAATCTTGACAATAATCATCTTCTTGTAATGCAATAATATCAACTTCGAGACGTCTTATTATTTTCAAAACTTTCTGTTAAATTATAAACATGCTCAAAGTTACTGCCCGATATTATAGATGGTATAAAAATAATTATAAACCATATCAATACAATATATTTCAAATCTTTCATAATATACTTTTTTCTGTCTTAGTATTATAAAATACGAAAGGTTCTGATTATAGAAGTTATGTTAATAAAGCTACTTTTTATACATTTGAAATTTACATAAATAAGGTATTTTATTCACTATCTCTAGATATCCAATATAAATTGATTATCAATAAAAAAAATGACAAAATCATTGAATTTTTTAAAAACTGATCGAAAATAACAAATATTATGATATGTGAGTCAATAAGTTTCATTTACAAGAGAAAAATCAAATCAAACATATTGTTTAGGGTGTGTGTGTCTCTTTTTCATCTATCTCAGCACCTCCACCTCTATTTCGATCAGCTAATGATTTTCAAAACTTTATTTTACACATTGTTAGTAAGAATCCATAGTTTAATGAATAACATCGATTTTCTTTTTTACTTTCCTTTCGTCGAATAAAAAAAAGAAGTTAATCACACATGATCGAAAAAGAGTAACACGCAATGTTCTTTTTCATATTCTTAAGTAAAGTCCATATCATCTTCTGCCAATTCCACTTCAATTTCCCATTTAGAACCAAAAAAATGAACACTTAAAATTTTCAATTTTGTTCCAACAGCTAGAAGTGCTTCTTTTTCATCCATAAATGTACTCCATTTCCATATATTTGCTATATTTATCTTTGCTTGCTCACTACAAGTATCTGTTCTTAATATTAATACAGCATTACCCGAATAAATAAGTAAACGATCTATAGTAAACGATGTAAATGAATTTGTATAGTAATATTCGTTTCTTCTGTCTAAATAATATTGAATTTCTCTATCACTCAATGATAAACCACGATAATAGACATGTTTAATATCGGATTGATTTAGACCATGTATCAATGAACGTAATTTATTAACATAAATCCAATCAATTTCATTTAAATTAGAACTTAATAAATTTAAATTTGTTTTCATATAACATTCATTTGATTGACTATTTGTATAAGATTTTAAAACATCTATCATATCATCTGTTAATTCATATTCATTGATTATAAGTGGATATACTTGTTTAAAATATGAGTAATATGGATTTTTTATTAATATTTTACAATTGAGTGTATTGTTTTCATTATCATAATAATAATAATCTGTATCGAGATCTTTTGTTAAAGAAGCAAGAGTTTTTGGTAGATAAATGTTTGTTTTAGCATTTACAATACAATCCATTTTGCATTAAATTTATTGACAGTAACCAAAAAAAATGATCAAAATACAAACTATTATATAGTATTAAAATGTCGAAAAATAAGAACAAGAAAAAAGAAAATATGACTCATTATTTTTCATCACGCAAAGTGAATAGATGAATCATTTTTTTACAATAACACATGACTGTCATATGCATAATTTTTCAATGAATCTAAGTTAACCAATAAATATTTTATGGACTTTTAAAGATCTGTTTTTTAAATTTAATCTCATTTTAACTTTACTTCTTAGATAATAAAAACTACTTTTAATAAATGTTTAAATTGAATATCATTATTTTTTGTAAGTAATCACACAAAACATGTCAAACTCTTCTTTGATTACCACTAATTTTCATTGCATTTTCAAATTGAAAAAAATATCATATAATATATAATATTTAATATAGAATCAACTTGTATAGTTGAAGTCATCATCTAAAACACGATCGCAACTTGAAATGTGTTTATAAAAATAATACGACAATCAGGAAACTATTATTGTTATCTTTATCTGTTTATCTATACGTTTTTAGTTCTTTAATAAAGTGGTATGTTATTATGAGATAATTTTTGTATAGTTTTATCATATTTAATAAGATCAACTGTTAACAAAAAGCAATACTTTATAAGCAGGAATACGTTTGACGAACATTTTTCCTAAGTTGACTTTTCAGTAACGCTATAAAATGAAATGGAATAGTAAACTGTTTTTTCCAGACGAAAATAATTAGTATTATTTAATTGGTATGGTAAATAACCTTCTCCTAAGTTAAGTCATCAGATTCAATGTCAAAAGAGTGCCGTGTTACTGTATCGCCACCATATACAAAACCCCATAAATATGAATCAGAAAAATACCATCCAGTTCCATCAGCAACTTATACGCAATTTTTTGTTAAACTACAGTTGTGTGTGAAGGTGAGTTTGGATGTGAGTAAAGATTAGAGATACCCACACCCACCATCCAGACGATAGCTTCATTTGTTTTGGTATAAAATTACTGATTTCGAATATTTTTATTTTGTGATATAATTGAAAATGATCGTATCAGATCAAAAATTTCTATTATTTAATTAAAAAGTATAGATTTCATTCTTTCCTCTTTCTCATCATCGTAAAGTAAATCGATCAAATGCATTTTCCTGACATTGTCATCATTCAATAAAAAATAAATGTAGAATTTCAAATCGTACAATCACTTTTCTATTGATCAAAATGATTCGAATAAGATTTCTCGATTTTATATATCATGAATCATTCTTTTTCGTCTACCAATTTTCTTGACTTCGTAACATGATGGTTAATTTCTTCATATACAGTATCTGACGTTTGTTAAATAAGAGAAGGAAAAGAAATGAAGAATAATATTTAATTTTTTTCGGAAGAAATAACTAAAGAATCATTTGATACAAAGAATAACGACACATACAGATTATAATTTACTTCCTTTTTTTGGATATAAAAGTGTAATCGTAAATCATATCTGAATATAATACTTCATCATCATCACCAGTTTTCGAAGTGTATGTGATGTGTGACGTAGATTATTACCGTTCGTTTTATTTAGTTCTTTCTTCTTTTCTATCGAGGGTGTTAATATATCTTTCATATATATGTTTCTTTGTTCTCGTGTATTCACTAAGATTATTCTCTGTTAGAATAATCCTTGTTATTGTCGACGAATGTACGTGTATTCCATCATATATATAGACGTGTATGAAATAGTTTATTTTGATAAAATAAATATCATTTACCACCCGACTTCAGGACGTGACAGTTTAAATAAAAGAATAACTTGAAATGCCGAGCAATTATCCACCGATTTATCCTCAAGTCCAAACGATCGTCACACAACCTTTTCTCGTACAATCATATCCGTCGAATGGTTTTGCAACTACTGTTGTTCAAGAACAACCGAAAGATGTTCAACATTGTTGTCACTTTTTTTTATGTCTATTAACAGGAGGATTATGGGCACCATGTTGGTTAGGAGCTTGTTGTGGATGTTGTGAGTATACTATTTTCTATTAGAATCAAAATTCGAATAAGAACTTGAGCTGTATTTTAGGTTGCCAACGACCTTGTTGATTTAAATGCAACTCACAATACGAAAACAGAAAACAATTTCTTTTTTTTTGTTTATAATGTAAAATTTTGTTAATATTTTATGCATAATAAATACATTGAAATTATATTCATCAAATGTAATTTGTTCATCTTTCCATTGTTTCAAAAAAAAGGTGATGAAGTTAAAACTTGTTTTAGACTGTTATTTTTTTTTTATTCCTATCTAAATTTCAACTGATCAATGACGTCACAATATATATATGACATCGTATAATTAATAAAAACAATCCTCGTTCGCTTAAATTTCTATGTTTAGTTTATAGTTCAATGCGTCATCTATCGAATGGTTCATTGAGAATATAACGAACAATATAAATTTTAGTATATATTCTACAGAAAAGCAACGGTTTACAATAATAAATAAGAATGAAGTTTGAACAATTACCAAATGAAATATTATTTCAATGTTTCGAATATCTTAATGTATTTGATATATTTTATTCATTCGATCGATTAAATTATCGTTTAAATCGACTTATTCGAAACATTTCATTACATTTAAATCTTCCTGAAAAAAATAAACCGTTATTTGGTGAATTTTTTCACAAAATCTTATTGAATTCACGAATTCGAAATCAAATTATTTCATTAAAAGTATCGATTAAAAGAACATGTTGTCAATTGAATGCATTTCTCTCGTTCTTTTCATTTATTCAATTTTCTCAATTACAATTATTAACAATAGCCGATCTTAACCAAACAAATAGTGAAGAAAAAAAATCGATATTATTATTATTATCAAATTTTCTTAATATTTATTCAAATGATATGGCAGATGAAATTTGTGAAATATTATCGAAATTATTATTACCAAATATTCAAATGAAATTAACATTTAATTCAATAACTAATTATATAACAATACCAATTACATCACTAACATTTTATCAATATTCTTTGAATGATTTATGGCAATTATTCAAATATATACCTATGCTAAAATATCTACATCTTGAAACATTGGATAATTGTTCGTATATAAACAATAGATTAGATCCTGCTGATATATATGCTTTCCATTTACAACAATTAGCTGTGGATTATTCAAAGTGTAGTTTTGAAACTTATCGATTATTATTAAAACAAACACCGAATTTAAAAATCTTAACAATAAATATTGAATATCAAACAGATATTATTGATGATGTACGTTGGCAAAATTTAATTGAATCTTCACTACAACATTTAGATATTTTCAATTTTATATTTGTTATTCGGATCGACGATATTATTCTAACGAAAGTTCATCAATTTCAAAATGATTTTTGGCATAAATATCATCATTGGTATGTCAATTATGAATTTAATTCAATGCATGCAATATTCTATACTATACCCTATATGAAAAATGAATACAGCCTAAAACCGAATATGAAAAGATCTGATGGTTTTAAATTAATGAATAATTCCAAAGTATTTAAAAATGTTACTGGTTTATTTTTATTTGTGGATATCTTAAATGAACATTATGAATATTATTTTCAAAATATTACATCATTAACACTGTATCAAGATTCAATGTTGTTTAAAGAACTTGATTTTCATCAGCGACAACAAGAAAATAAATTTGTTGAATCACTTCAAATTACTGTGAACTTATCTAATCTTAAACATCTAAATATTAAAAATACATGTCATATTATATCATCAACTATGTTATTACAAATATTGAAAAAAGCACCAAAATTATCATCGATAGCAATTGAAAAATCTGCTTTAATATCATTTGTTATTAATAATGAACTATGTCAATATTTCAATCAAATGATTAAAAAACTAGATATTAGGAGTTATTCTAAAGATAAGTTCATTCAATTCATCAAATTGAATAAACTTTGTAAAATATTGTTAAATATTGAAGAACTCCAATGTTGTATTGAACAAACGGACGTGTTTTTATTCATAATAAATCATATGCCAAAATTAAAAGATCTCAAAATTGATTCTTGGTATGCTTTTCGTCAAAAAACATGTGCGTGGTTAAAAATGACTGCATCACAACTAAACATAAAATGTACTGTTGTAGGATATTGTTACCTGTAATTATTTGTTTGTTTTTCTTGAAAATATAAATAAACTTGTTGTACTCGATTTGATGTATCTTTCTCATACTTAATAAACGCTAATACATGACGTGAGAAATCGAGAAAAATATTTCACACGGCTGAATACTTTTTAGTAATCTGCAGATGTGGGTAGGTGGCGTGAGCGTGAGGGTGTTTTCTTTCATTACCCACACCCACACCCTCAAGATCATGTACACCACCAATTCTAAGGTTTTAGACCAAGTACATAGGTCAGTATCAGTAGGTATTGTGTAGTGCATTAGTCCAAAGTTCTAGCTATTGTAAGGATTATTAAAGAGTAGAGTTATCTATAGCACTTCGTGTTGTTTGTGTGGTACTAAGTTGTGGTGGGGGACGCCCCCGCCGACCCCTAGAGCCTTCCCCCACCCTCATTTTTGTGCTTGCGGCTGTTTGTTTTGTCTTTGATTTGGGTTTTGTCATGACTATTGATGTGTTGTTTAGGATGACATAGATGATGTTTTTTCTGAGTACATTTTGTATCCGTATCCACTCATCTATGTTACTGTATGCCAACATAAGCGATTCGCATCGTCACCAGATGCAGTGTCGCAAGAGTATCGTGTTACTGTATCACCACCATATACAAAATCCTTATGAATATGAATCAGAAAAATACCATCCAACTCCATTAGCAACATATGCACAATTTGTTGTTGAACTACAGTTGTAAAGAACATCAGCTCGATTACCCATCACTGGTACACTCAATATCGTAGTGTGTGAGTGAGTGCGAATGTGGGCGGAAATGACTATTGGTAAAATAAAGACAATACTTATACTCACACCCTTAGTCCCTAAGCATCTTTCCCTAAAACAGCACTGAATCGAATATAGGCTTCCGTGTATTTTACAAAAATTCATTCGAGCGCTGAGGATGTAAATGTGGATTGGTTCATCCCCTCTCTTCTCAAAAGCTCATCCACACTCACTCACGCCTCACCTCACAGTCGCATCCAGGCACACGCATGCGCCCTCAAGATGGTACAACTGAGAGTTGGTTGTCAGTCATCGGTAAAAATATTAAAATAATACCTCGGAATTAAGTACATAAAGAATGCCTGCTTCGTTCAAGAATCATGTATCCCGTAGTCCCATATTAACTCCTCGTGAGGCAAACGTTCTTCTTGTCACATCTTGAGGGTGTGGGTGTAGATTTGCCTACCTCTAGCTCGCCTTCACACCGACACCCTCGTTCTATGTACTAACAAAAGTTTCTTGTGTATAGTAAAGCTTGCAGATCTTTATTATAATTCTATTACGAGTTATTTTTAAAAAGAACATATTTTTTATTGTAGTACAAATAGGCATGTAGCGAACCCGAACTACAGTTCGGATTCGGTTTGCTACATTCCCAAGTACAAATATTAGTTTATTGTTTATTTTTCAATTATTGTCTGCCATTTTTCAGCTATATGAAATCGATGAGCACGCCACCAAATAACAATAAAAGCAAGTATATTAAAGACAGTAAATAGTAAGAAAAGCATAGCAATATCAAAGTAAATAACAGCTGATGATGAGCCATTATCCCATTGGAGTTTGTTTAAAATTGAATAGCCATAATAAAATGGAGATAAATATGGTAAAATATATAGAATAAATGGTAACCGTTTTAAATCAAGAAAATAATCACTAAAAACTACGAGTATTTGTAAGACTGGTACGGTTGTAGCTACTGCACTCTCGACAGATCCTGAAAATGAAGCAATAAATGCACCCATTGATGCACTTGTAATACTTGTTAATACTACAGTCGATACAAATGCCAGAAAATGTAAGAAATAATTATGATCTATCGATATTGAAGCACACCAATATATAATTGAACTAAAAGTTGCTGATACAAGAATTATTTTTGGAAAATCATGTAAATAAGTTGATATATAAAATGCTAATGTTCCATACATATGCTGTTGTGTTTCTTTTAGGAATACGAAAATAGCATTCGGTACTGTACCGGAAATAAGTGTACCACATGTAGTTGCTGAAACATAGATTATTACAATTAGAAGAGCATTAACATTAGTTTTATATAATCGAGATGGATTTCGATGTGCCAAATTGAAATATAGAAGTCCAAGAACAACGGCTGGAATGAATGTTTTAACAAGTGCATCATAAGTATGTACTCGATTCCGTATACCAGCCATATACGAACGCCATAATAACCATTTCATTTGTCGAAAAAAATTTGGAGTGGATCCATATGTAGTTGTTAATGAAGATGATAATGAAGAAATATTATTTGATGGAGTAATTAATGAATCAAGTGAAAGAGCATAAGATGATTTAGCAAATCGTTCGACTGCTTGTAAGGCTTCTTTACTTGCAGCTGTTTCTGGTGCTGCTAATTGTTCTATATATACATCAAGTGATGATCCTATTAAACCACAATCATTGGCAAAGAATGGTAACGCTTCAGAATTAGTACTACCAAAAAATGCTTGTTTACCATTTTGAACTAATACACATAACAAATCAATAAACTTAAACATTTCTGATGTTGGTTGATGTAAAACAATAATCATTGATCGACGTCCTTCGACAGCAAGTTTACGAATAGTATCCATTAATGATTTAGCTAAATAAGCATCAAGATTAGATGTAGGTTCATCAATAAGCATAATTGATGGATCAGTTAATGCTACTGTTGCAAATGCTAATCGTTTTCGTTCACCACCAGATAACTTTGATATAATAGTTGACGTACATTTCTCTAGGCCCAACAATTTGATCGTTTCAAAAACACATGCTCGACGATCATCATCAGTCATCGATAATGATTGCATTCGTAACATTGCCTAATATGAAAAAGAAAAAATATTTTCAATTTATTCGTCATTTATATTATATACCTGAAAGATTAAATGTTCATGAAGTGTCATTGTTTCGATAAATACTTGATTTTGTTCAACATGTCCTATACATGAACTTTTAAGTCGTTCATTACGTGTTGTCACTCGACCATTGACCATAATCGTACCCGAAACGAGTTCGAGTGTACTAGGATCATCTAAACCACTGAGTACTTTCAACAATGTTGTTTTACCTATATAAAAAAAATTAAGTGTTTTCTTTTAAAACTAAAACATACCGACGCCAGATGCACCCATTACAGCTAAAATTTGTCCAGGCTGTACAATACCTGATACATCAACCAGTAGTTCACGTCGTTGCTGCTGTGATTTACCATCAAATTTTAAGCCACGAAGATATGCAGCACAAGAAAATTTGTTATCATCTCGCGTTTGAACACAAAGACGAGACCAACTGAATGTAAATTCAGGATGTTTGTTTGTAAAATTCATTGGAACTCCATCGTCATTACTTTTGTCGGATATCATGGTATAATACTTCTGAATAAAATCACTAGATAAATATTTTTTGAATCAGTCATAATTTATCAAGCATGTCCAATTATCTATTATTTATATTTTGTTATACGGGGGAGTCATTATTTAATAGCTCCAATTATTGAAACACACGCATTCATTCAGGCATATAATAATTTATTTTATCTAGAAAATATATATCATACCATTATGATACTAATTCATTTATCATCAACGTTTCAATTTACAATAGGTATGAAAAAGGAAAAATCATCTAATTAAAATAAATGAGAAAAAAGAGTTTTCAAATGCATAGTTTCAATTTAATTATAATTATTTCTAGCATACTATACTCATAAGAAATAAAATCAATGATAGCAAATAATCATGGTGACTATGGTGCAATTGACCACCAAAATAATTCAAATTCAACAAATGGTAATATCTTATCGAATCTATTTTCTCGACGAAACTATACAAAAATGAGAGATGCTGATGAAGAAATGTCTCAAATTTCTATTATTGAGCCTTCGATGAAGAGAGAAGAAATTACAATGAGTTGGTCAAACATAACTGTCGAAGTTATTCAAAAAGAAAAGTCTCGTTTGTCTTTTTGGTCGAAAACGGATTCATCAACATCACGTCATATTCTTGTCAATGAAGTATCTGGTATAGTTCGACCAGGAGAAGTTCTAGCAATAATGGGCACATCTGCAGCAGGTAAGTAGAAACATACAGATTGTTAACTTGAATATTATCTATTTTCAACTAGGTAAAACAACATTACTCAATGCACTCAGTGGTTATAGTGATAGACGAGAATTGAATATAACAGGTTCTGTGATGTTGAATGGGTGTGTAACAACAAGTCATGAACGACGATCATCAAATATTATCGGTTATGTTGAACAACAAGAATTATTTTGTGAAACACTTACAGTTCAAGAACATCTCGTATTTCAGGCTATGTTACGAATGTCATCGAAAATATTGACTGATGATGATCGACGAAAACGCGTTTTGGATACAATAAAATTATTATGTATGGAAAGATGTGTATCGACTACGATTGCAAAATTATCAGGTGGTGAACGAAAACGATTAGCATTTGCTGCAGTTGCTTTAACCGATCCATTAATTATGTTGATTGATGAGCCAACTTCGAATTTAGATTCATATTTAGCTAAATCATTAATGCATACTATCCATATGTTTGCTGTAGAACGACGTCGATCCATCGTTGTCGTTTTACATCAACCTACAACGGACATGTTTAAATTTATAGACACCCTATGTGTACTATCTGATAATGGAAGACAAGCATTTTTCGGTGATGCACGTCATGAAGCAACAAATTTCTTTGCTGATCAATGTGGTTTAGAAGGAGAATCACTCGATGAATTTATCGAACAAGTCTCTTCTAATAGTACCGTTGGTCAACAAGTAGCTGATCGATTTAGTACTAATTCCAAATCTTCTTTAATTTCATCTATTGAATCAATAAGTGATAAATCTATGAAAGATTCAACATTTGTTACTGTTAGTTTTTGGCGTCAATTGAAATGGCTTCTTTGGTATTCAAGTGTGGGTGGAGCTCGTTTATCAGTTCGATCGACAAAATTACCATTTCGTCTACTTATTATGGGTATTATATTTGGTCTAGCATATTTTCAACTCGATCCTTCGGAAACACATTATGTACGAAATCTTAATTCTATTCCTTTTATTATTGGCATGTCACTTGTTGTCAGTAGTATGGGTGTTATAGCAATAAGTTTACTTAATGAACGAATACTTCTTATTCGTGATATACAACGAAAAATCTATTCTCTTCAAGCTTATTACATTGCTAAATTTATATCCGATTCGATTTTCATAATAATAATATCAATTTTATATTCAATTATTATTGTTCTACTTGTAAACATGAAAGAACTTGGGTTAATGATATTAGTCATATCATTAGAAGCATTAGCTGGTTGTGCTGTTGCATCTCTTATGGCATCAAGTTCATCATCAATTCTCATCATTTTACTTTTATTACATCCATTTAATATTATATTGAATCAATTTACTGGAGTTTTCATCAATCTTAAATCAATACCTGATTATTTCATATGGTTACAATATCTTTCCTATTATTACTATGGTTACTCATCAATGTTAATTCTACAATGGCGTAATGTAGCTATTGCTCAAGAACCTTGTGAAATAGTTACGAGTAGTATCATGTCGACTTCTCCAGCTATATGTTATCGAAATGGTACAGCTATTTTAAGCGAATATGGCGTTCAACAACATAATTTAAACTTTAACTTATTAATGCTTGTAACGCTTATTTTAGGATATCATATAATATCATTTATCATTCTATTTATTCGTATTCGACGAATTTTAAAATAAACTTAAAAAATTTTGATAATTCAGAAATATTATTGATTAGAATTTTTTTTTATATGATAGATCTTTTTTAACTTGAAAATGTGTGTGTACCCTCGAGTTGTACGGGTGATTCAGTATCTGAGACTGCAGTCCAATGTGAAGAATAAGTGATATGTAGAGCAGGGATTAAATTATTTCGAAGTATTAACTCTTGGTGAGGAATATTCCAGATAGAGTCATCGGTGGGAGATTTTCCTTGAGAATGAAGTTGATCAAAATAATCAATAATATTTTTCAAATTAGAAGAAGTTTTTTTAATAACAAAATTGTATGGATCAGTTCTTAGTTCAGAGATTTTATAATTAATACCATCAATTACCTTGTCATACAAATTATTTGATATATTTATCTTTCCACTATTCCACAGTATGTTGAGTTGTAGATCACGCAAATAGCGGAAACCATCTTGAGGGTGTGGGTGTAAGATATACACACTGTAATTGAGATACTCACGCCCACCCTCATCCACACATCATCAATTGCACGATATATAGCGTTATCTTTATTTTCACGAATTAATTGCATTTTTTTAGATAAAGTTAACGTGTGGTTTGTTCTCATTTTACAATCGAAGATAGAATCGATTACCTCATCGTCGACTGTTCATTTTCATTGTTCTATTTGTTTGATCTCTGTATTTTATTGACGAACGTACCGTTAATCAGTATGTGTCAAAAAAACAACGCTCATTGTTTAGAGTTCTGAGGTGTTCAGTAATAGACGTTTCAGTGAGTATATAATCTTTATTATTTAGAAGCAAAGCTTGAATAGAAAAGCGAACAAAAAAAAATGACCGATTAAAGTTTGTGAAGAAAATAAGATAATATTCTATATTATCTTCATATTCTAACTGGATGTTGCCGTTCGAATTGTTGTGAAAGACCTGTAATTTTGACCACCTACGATATTAAAAAATGCATAATATGCGAGAAATAACTGATGATAATGTCTTACATTGTTGACCCCTAATGCTTCTGTAAAATGTAACTCTCCTGCATGATCAATATTGTTAGAATAAAGCTCTAGTAATTTGAGTGTCTATAATCATCGAAAATATTATACAGTTGTTCAATAGACGTAGACAGGTTGTCTTACCGTATTTTCTTTTAATGCATTTGCAAAATATTGCGCTCCTTGATTGCTGATCTTATTGTAGCCAAGTTTCAGTTCTGTCAGTGTCTACAATCAACAAAGACATGAAATATCTTCTAATAAGCAGAACAAATGACAGACAATATTGAACTTTAATGCCTCTGCCAGATATTGTGCTCCATCATCATCAATCTGATTAGTACCGAGATTCAATTTGGTGAGTGTCTACCATTAGTGACAACCTTGAATATCTAATGAATGACTAAGTAATCGCTTTTACCTTATTCATCAATAACGTTTCAGCTAGATATAGGACTCCTGTATTACCGACGTCATTAGATTGGAGATTTAATTCTGTAAGTGTCTGTGATCAAGGGCTGTAAAGTATATATGAAATAAATAAACAATATATTTCACCTCATTTGTTTCTAACGCTTCACAAAAGTAACTAACTCCATCAGAATCAATTTTGTTATTCAAAAGATCCAATATTTTGAGTGTCTGTGATAAGAGACATTATCAAAATATTAGAGTTGAAATAAAGACCATGTCTCACGTGGTTTTTTTTCAACATTTCAGCCAGATGTTTTGCTCCCACATTACCAATCCCATTCACTATAAGTTTCAGCGTTGTAAGTGTCTGTATCAAATAATAATATTAAATAGTTGAGAAATCAATTGACATTACGACATACCTCATTAAATGATAAAGCTTCTGCCAAATACATAGCTCCTTCATCACCGATATTGATCGCTGGAGTATGTAGTGTAGTCAGTGTCTTTATTCGATTTAAATAAAACATAACTTAAGATTAATGCCAATTATAAAATGGTTTTCACCTGATTATCGATCAACGCTTCAGCAACGCGAAGTAATCTTCGATGATCGAAGTTCTCAGATCTTATTTTCAGTTGGATGATAGGCTGTAAACAAGAAGAGTATTGCCCAATGTTAAAATCAGTCAAAAACAGTTCTTACAGGACTTGCTTTTAATGCAGCGACAAAAGGTTCGACTTCATTTGTTCTCCTTCCACGAAAACAAAATTTCAGCTTGGATAATCTCTACTTGAAACATAAGTAATTATATTCTAATGTTCTAATTTGCACGCTGTATGTTCTCAATCACCATCTTCAAACGCATTGATAACTATCGTACTTACAGTGGTTTAATTAAACCAGCCTATTGAAATTATTTCAATATCATCAAGTACCGAATCTTGTCATCAATTATCTTCAGCTGTATTTTGACAGATTCAAAAACTAATTCGATACGAGACTATAAGTCGAAGGAAATAAGAAACATCTTTTTTGTTTCCTCACAATGGCTAATTATGCCCCTTTTTCAAATGAAGAATGAGTATGAAATATACCTTATATCGTTCATAAGTGTCCATGATGGCATTGGTGCGTGTAGAAACATCACGAAGAGAACGGAAAAGGGCTTCAGTGTCGAGATTGTCCATAATACAATAAATCAGCTCGATTGGTACAGTAATAAGTGATGGAGTTCTGTAGTCAACCATAGTGTAATTAATTTGATGAAACGAATAAATGCTAAAATAATTACTACTTCATACTTTCGTGTCGAAATAATATCTGCGAATGTTTGAGAGTAGGCGTGGGTGTGGGTAAGGATATCTCTTTTTTGCTTTCACTCATACCTACACCCGCCTCAAGGTAGATAGATCTGGGCTTCAGTCAATGATAAAAGTAGAATGTGGATAAATATTGATAAAGAGCTGATAATGTAGATGAAAGCGTTCAGTTGTGAAAAACTCGATTGCTTATGATTATTTTAAAAGGATGTTAGTTAGACAAAAAAAGCACTGAAGAAAATGCAAGTTGGAGTTCACCTAAGAGTAAGAACTAAATTATAAAATTGTTTCACATTTCCAAGAGAAATATTACAAAAAATAACTAAAATATATACGCTCGTAAAAACAATAATCTATTCACTATAAAGAGAATTTCATTATTAAAACAAATGCATTATATGAAAAAAACCCATTGCAAAATATTTTTCGGCGATTAAAGAAAAGTCTCTATGCCAACAAATTCGAAACAACATATGCGTCGTCATTCTTACAAGTGATGAGAGTTGGCTATTAAAATTTTTCTTTGAGAAAAAAGAGAAAGCGACAAATGTCGATTGCCTGTTTGGACAGAATATTTTTCTTCCACCGTCTTCTTGTTTAACATGCCAACATAGACGCAATTTTTTCCTTTTTATGATGAAATGAATCACAGTTCCTACTATATAACATTAAACGCAAAATGAACGCGGGTATCTGTATTATTAATTCAAAGCGTGGATCGATCTAAAAAATATTTCATTAAAGACATGACTTTAAATAAAACTTGTTCACTTGTATCTTTTTCATTAATAAACGAGTTAAACTTTTAAGATTTCACAGTCTGATGGTGAGTCTCGAAATTTCAAGATTCAGATTTCATGCCCCCGAAAATATTACTCCTTAGTTGGATTTAACTCTGTTGCATTTGTGAAGGAAAGGATGGGTGAATAGATACCATAACGCCTTTTCTCCAGGCTGAAGGTTCTTTCGAATGACTTAAATATTCTTTATGATATATAATCACAAGAGCTATCTTGAGGGTATGGGAATGCGAATATAATAGACGTTTTCAGTTTTCTACTTTATATCACTCTGTACTCAGCCATTGTGACGACTACAAGTTGTATTTTAATATATGTTGATGTAAAATTTGTTCCTCTTTCTTCTGATATAAAACTGATAGTTTTATAAATGTAAAATAGTGAAAATGTGAGCGTTCTGATGCAACATACGCTCGTTTCTACGATGTATTCTAAAACATACAAAAGTACAGAAGCAAAACTTTTCATACAATTGTGATTAATTCGAACGATTCAAATATATTTTTCTCTCTTCATAATAACCATTTGTATCAATAAAATGAATGTGAAATCTAACAGTATGAATATTAGAAAGAAAGATTACGGTCTTCATTTTATACCAAAAGATTAATAGTCTTTTTCTGTTTTGTTTTCATTTGACTTCTAATTTAATTTTGCTTAAAGACCCTTTCAATAAAAAATACAAGTGTATAGAGAAAAGATAGTTATATCGACATAATCAAATGATGTATGGTGAGAATGGACAGGGATATAAGTGTGAATGTGGATAGATCTGAGATTTTTTAATTGTTTCTTATTCTTTCATGTCTAAAGTTACTTTTTTCTCCTTCTTTCTATTGATTTGTTGCAATATTTTAAAAAGAAAGAGAACAACGTGCATCAATTAACACTTATAAAAAACAGAGCCATCCAATTTTGAGGAAAAAACCAAATGATTTTTTTCTGTGAGGTAGGAAGTGACAGAGAATGAATCAGACAGGAGAGTTTTTTTCTAAAAAGTCCATAAATACAATACATATTTTGTTATTTTTTTTTTCTACAAACACACCATTTTCCCCACCATACTTCTCAACTTCGCTTCGCCTTGCTCAAGGGCTTTTATATAGAAAATCTGAAAGAACAAAATCTATTTAGAACTGTCCGTATGGAAGATAGTATTTGAGTAAAAATAATCTTCATCAAGTTTAGAGTATCCCTTTTCTTTTTTTTCTATAAAAATTTGTAATGGATAAGACCAGATCATTTCACAGTTTACTGTTAAAATATATTTTTGTATCGTATTTAAACAAACGAAGAAGTCTCCGATATTTAAATCAATAGTATACATTTTCCTCTTTCATCGATCCTAACGATCGTCATTTACCGGTATTTATACACTTTTGTTATTCTAGATCAAGTTCAAAGTTTAGTACACTGAAAGTAACAATAAACTCTTTTTTCAATTATTGTTGTATTTGAAATGAATACTTATCTAATTTCAAACATTTAGATGTTAAAAATACATAACATATTATATTATCAACTATATTATTACAAATATTGAAAAAAGCACAAAAATTTACTTTAATATTATTTGTTATTAATAATGAACTATGTCAATATTTCAATAAAATGATCAATATAGAAACCTTCAAAGGAATATATGAGCATTTAAGTAAGAAAATCAAAGAAGGTATTTTCCTTCTCCGTTTTTTCCTCACTGATAGCACAATTTGTGTCTACATGTATTAAAACTGAGGAAAACCTTATCTTTTTCTTTTTTTTCCCTAACTGACAACATTTTATACAGGATAGACCATATGTAAGTGTGCGATAAGAAATTTAAATATTTCCATTACGGCTTTTACAACCGAGCTCTTTTTTTATCAATAGTAGAGACATGTTCATTTTTCATAGATGAGGAAATAACACTATATAGAAAAGTGAAAAGTTATTTTGCTGGTAAAAACATCGAATATTGTCACTATGGTTCGAATGAATTAGCTGATTCTCCTATTAATGACAGAGAAAATGTTTAAGCTTTACATTGAGAAAGACATGTCTTTATCATTGACCCAAAAATCAGCTTGGTTGCGCGAGCTACAGTGGAGATATTTAAATTTCTTATCGTACACTTACTTATAACCCATACCGTGTATGTCAGAAGTCGTTCTATTCAAGAGAAGCGTAATATCTTACTATTTCCCCTAACTCTCATAACTCTATATACCACAACAGAATGCATTTTAACGAAAGAAAATATTATTTTTTTCCTAACTCACAGCACTTTATATATCAGTATTCATTTTACTTGGGGAAACTGTTCTCTCTCACTTCTTTTTTCTGAGAGTGTGGGTGTGAATCTGGACGATGATCAAGAGAAGTTATACCCACATTCGTAACCATATCCTAACTCATTCAGACTCTCACACAGATTCACACTGTCATTTTACTGCAACATAAAATATCTTGATTTTTGTCTTTTATGTGAACTTCTATTTAAATAATATGTAAACATAAATTGTATCAAAAAATATCTTGCAGATGGGATGGATGTGAAACGATTCATCACCGATACCCCCATACAATCTCAAATAATAAAATAAAAATAAACAACAATGTTATTCTCTCTGATTACAGCTCGCACAAATGACAAACCAAAACAAAGTTTTTCGATATTTCCACTACTGTTTCTGGAGGTTGTGGGTGTGTGTGTCATAATTCTCTTAACCCGCACCCACACCCACCCACACCCTCAAGATGGTAAATAGACGGTGAAGATTTTTGTTCCTCATGGTTATCCTTTGGTTAGTTCGTCCATCATTAGTCTGTATATTCCTTGCATACACAGAGATTCTCTGTAAGTGCAAACGAATTTAATAGTAGAAATTAATTAATAAAATTTAATTTAATTTAATTTAAGTTAAACAAAAATACAATCCATTAATTAATCAAAAATGCATTCGACTGTCTTGTTGTTTCAAACGAGTTTTTGTATTAGCGGAGATGTTGTTATTATATCGAAGATCTACATATTGTATTGTCTATAAAAGAAAAGAAAAGAAAGCTGAATATGAAAAGATATGTATAAAAAATAAATAAATTTTACTTTATTGATTTTTAGTGCTTCTGCAAAGTGTTGTGCTCCATTATCTCTAATCTGATTATTTTGAAGGTTTAGATTGGTGACCGTCTGTATGAGAAAAAGTGATGATGTATATTAGAGTACATACAACTTAACTATTACATAGTTTTCTTTATTGCTCATGATCTACGATCTGATGAAATAGAGCGTGCAATTCAAGACAATTGCATAACCATCCCATGCAATATCAATCTGATTTTGTCTAATTTTGGCAATGTTAGAATCCTATTTCGATAACGCAGCCTTCTTGATATATCAACTCAAATGCGTCAAGATGATGCTATTTTAACCGAATACGTTTCAAACATTTTCAAATTGAAGAAAATTAAATTGGTTTTGAGTGAAATCTTTAGGCGATTACTTTGAAAGTTATAAAACTCGAAAATTACACGCTCATCCGTTTCAGATCATAGATGAAGAGGCAAAATACAACAAGAAGAACTCAGGTAGTAACAGCTAAGAAAAACTTTTAAAGATTAAGTCTTTTCTTGAATTTCTTCAATAACATCTCTCTAATTGTATATCAACATTTTTATATTTTAATGGGACAAACTTACACGTAATTTACCTTTTGCAAGCGTTCTATGAAATAGCAAAAACAATTTTGAGTGTGTGGCTGTGAGGGTCGAATAAGAGTATGGAGGATACGAAGACAGTGCCTATACGACAAATACTACAGAATTTTCCTAAAATATCCTGTTCAAATTGCTATTAAGAGATCGCACTTCGATTTCTGTGAGTTTTCCTATAAAAAGAATAGCTTTTTTTATAGTATCGTAATGAAAGGATTAAGTTGATATTGATCTGGTACATTAGTTGTGGTAGATAAAATTTATAAAAATTACTTTTAAATTTTCATCGATTTCTATTTGACTCTCAACAATAAAGTAGAAGCACTTCACAATATGAGACAATATTCACATGACTGAAATGTAATGAAAAGTCTTGACCTAGTTTGTCTGCTAAATGATATGCGAAAACATTTTTTTTATAAAAAATCTAAT